TAAATTATTTATAGGCTGAGATGTAATATTATCGAAGAAACATTTGGTGCGTTGCGCAAATATCATACGTGAATCTTGTCAGTCGTGTCATACATTGCGGTCTCATGACCAAACAGTAATATTGTCAGCATGTCTTATCTCGTTAGAAACACATAAATTCAAAAACACGATTGAAACCATTTTATTCCAGGCGGATATATGAATATTAAGAAGAGAGCGGAGAAAAGAGAAAGAGAGATTTGTCGATAGGTTATATACAAGTTTCCAACGGACAAAAAGTTTCCAAAAATAAACTCCATGTATTGCTCATATTATACTGACATCTGATAAGTAAAGAATGTCTTATAAGAGGAAAAGGAGAGTACAAAACTCGTCAATTTCCAGATTAATGGTAAACAATTATGTCGATCCAGTAGAAGGCAAATGAAGAATAAAGAGTAATCTATGAGTTAAATGGACAATGAATTTAGTTCTAGTTCTATTAATTTCAAACTCTATGACTACCAGTGGTCGTCGTGGAACCGGAATCTTTTGGAATCCCATGGATACTATAGGACGAGATCAAACTTTTATAGTATCAGTGAGACAGGACAAGACAAGATAAACAAGCTGTAGGACGGGACAGATTCTTATAGGATTTTTGTTATAAGGTTCTTATCAAAACTTACCAAATTTTCCTCATCTCAACTTTGGATATTATATGAAAAGATCACATATGAGCAATGAGAAATTCGAGATACTATATTATTCCTTGGTGTGATTGTCAGTTTATATTGCACTTTTTCTTTGAGTGTTGATTATCCATTTTATTATAGCTACCGAAAAGCAGGACGTGATGATTTGATATAGGCTATTTTACTCATAGTAAGTTATTGTTAACTATCCCACACTTAAGCTAACTTTTAAATGCTGAGACTGGTTTATTGATTTTTGATTTCAATTGTGTTGTGGTAGTATAATATCGCGCTGTTGATACAGGACTAGAAAATCTAGATCTGTATGAACTACTATCGTTATATACAGATATAGATTCCGAATATAATTTATAGAACAGACGAACTGTACGGAAAATGTTTGTTAACATAAAAAAGTTCACTTTTCAGTCTAATGGGCGTACAAACAGCAACAATGAATATTTCTAACCTTTTTTAATGTACAAATATACTAGAGAGAGTGGAGAATATTTTGATGCAAAGTGCTTGTCAAAAGCTTTTTTCATTACCGAGTTATAAGGAAAAGAAGAAAAAATTTGAGGTGTGCGAAAAATTTGTGTTGCCACTTTAATATTCAATTATATTTTTAAAACCAAAAATAAATCTGTTGTAATGAATTCCATGAGAAAAATTCTTTTATTTTCAAATGTTCATGTAGAATAAATTTGTTTTCAATTTTTCAATTTTCTCTTAGATTACTGTTACTGTCTTAGGCTACTTCCTTCTTATGTTTCCACAATAAACAACATATTCAGGATAACGCACTCAAGAAACGATTTGAATGATTGATAATGATACAAGAATACGATTTAGCACGAAATAGCGCCAGTGATTCTGGAATGTGCTGAAAGTTTTCCAAAAACCATGGGTTTTGACACCAACTGCATTTTTTTACGACTAATATAACATTTTAGCGCAAAACCAACATGATATTTAGAATTAGCCATGGTTTTTGAAGTTCCAGGACTGGTACCCGGTGACTATTGGTAGCTTTGAAAACGGATGGACTACTGGTAATCGGTCATGCTGAGTCTTGTGGCAATATTTAGTTTTAGAAAAAGTTCTAAAAATCTACTGAAAAGCGGGTTTTATGAAAATTTGCGTTTTCAGGCCGTTTTCACCTAATATTAAAAAGTTCACTATTCACTCAATAAACATCAGAACGGGTTCAAAATTTGAGGATATAGTTGATTTCCTGCGCTAAACGTCATTATACGATCGAAAAATCAGAAAAAGCGTATTTTTATTATTGGGTTTTCCAGAAAACCTTTTGGAAAATCTTAGGGCTTCATAAAATTTCTTTTGATATCTCCTATAAATAGAATATAGAACAGGTTAAATACTCTACATTCTGAAATTTGAACTCGTTCTGATGTTTATTGAGTGAATAGTAAACTTTTTAATATTAGGTGAAAACAGTCTGAAAACGCAAATTTTCATAAAACCTACTTTTTGGTAGATTTTTAGAACTTTTTCTAAAAACAAATATTGTCACAAGACTTAGCATGATCGGTTACCTATATTCCATCCGTTTTCAAGGCTACCAATAGCCACCGAATGTCAGTTCTGAGGCTCGTAGGAAATCCGATATAACGCCCGAACCGCAGAAAATCAAGGTCTAATTTCACTCCTGTTTTGAAGAGAACATCCCGGGCTATTAGTCCATGAAAAAAAAGTAATACAATCCCATTGGAGAATTTTTACAGACGGCCTAATTTTCCAAAGATCTCTTAGAAAGCCTATTTCAGAAAACTATTCTGAAAACAAAGTTGATTACGAAAACATGGCTTCAAGTCTCTTCTTTAGAATGGTAAAAGTCGGAGCTCTCTAGCTCTTTTCTCAAAAGTTATTATTAAATTAATAGCGCATCTCCGCCTGCTCTAGCCAAAATTGTCCACTGTGTGCCATGTTAGTGTTAGTTCACCTAGAAATTATGGATGAATTGGGAATTCATTCATTTACTTTAAAAGTGCTGTATGTCTACTACAATAAGATAATATTTCGTTTCAATAAAAACTTGATTTTATTGTCTCTAGGTGTCAGTTAAAATTCTGGTTTTTTATATTGAGTAGCTAGTAACTTAATAACTACTTGCAACTTTGAGCTGCTTTTTTCAGGATTAGTGAGCATAGTTTAGATGAATAACATATACAAATTTCACGTAGATTCTTCCACTAATAAAAAGGTTATCGCATTTTTACATCTCGGGTATGAATGGTACACTACCAGCGCAATTATGCCATATATAAAAAACAATTTCTGCACCTTAACACAAGATTGGCAAAAACATTGGCTTAATTTCTTCTCAGCAGAAGTTTAGTAAATTTCTTTTACGTCATTCTAATGAATTACCGTTAGCATTAGTAATAGCAGAAACATTTTCACTCATAGATACAAATAAAAATCTCCATTTTTCCTTTATAAGTCACAACGATTTTTTTGAAAAATTTAGCAGGAAATTTACAAATGAGAGACATATTCTAATTGTTCATAATTAATAAAAATATGTGATTGCCGGTCTTGGAGTTGGTGCTAATGGCTCTGATGAAATTGTTACTGAACTAGCTGAACGAATAGGTGGTTTCTTTATTGTTGTAAGCGGTGGTGGTAACTCAGATGAGATTGTTGCTGCACGATTACGTGAATCATTCTTGGACTTTGTTGTAATTATATGTGAACGTATCCATCGAACAGGATGAAAATTATCAATTAATGAATACATTTTCTACCGTCTCCTACATTCACCTAATAATGAAACAAAAATGTCATTTTATTTCAAAGCCAAGTCATGTTCTAAACCCGAGCTACGGGTTTCAGGTACTAAACGATTGTCTTTGTTAAATCTCAAGCATATACTCACGTTTACAGCGGTTTTATTTCCAAAAGCAGGTATCTCATCATAAACAGGATAAATAACCGTTTGTTGTTGTTTTTGTGGTGATGGTGCTACTGCACCTGTGATGATGACAGGAACACTGCTAGTGCTCGGATAAGACATTGTTTTACAAATTATAATATATTTTTTATTGTTTTCGTGCGTTCGTATGTTCGTGACTTTTGACTTATATGTTTTATTCTTTACTATATAAAAAAAGAATATTTAGTAATAATTCTTTACTAAATAAAAATAACTAGACAAAAAAATTGTTGCTGGGTTATCTAGTGTCAATAAATTAATCTCACCTATTGTGCCATAAACAATGACGCAATGATGATGAATTTAAAAAGGAAGATATTAATCATATTATCTCATAACTAGAGATGGGCACCGGGACCAAAAAAATTTTCTGATCTCGGTAAAAGATTTCCTTGCCGTTCCATCACCTTCACAGTTAAAATATCATTTGGCTGTGCATTTTGTAGAGAAATGTTTGCTCTTTCAGCTTATATATCCTACAAGTAACGTTCATCTTCGATTCACTGACCCTTGACTGACAGTCCGTTTCCGACAAGACTTCTGACCGACCGATCTTTGTTCAGAAGCTATGGTCAATTTTCTGTTTTTCTCTGCGAAAACAGGCAAAAATGGAAAAATTCGCATTGTTCTCAAGCAGAGGCATATACATCGCAGATTTAGATGCGTGGCTCTTCAGTAGGTGTACCATAAATGAAAGGAAACTCATTGAAAACTACATCGTACAAAGCTGCTGCCAGGATATAAAATGTGCGAAATTCAATTTCGGATCGTTTTCTCAGTGACACCAAAGCTGCCGAATTCTTGTTTCACAGTGAAAAATGCCAATTATTAATCACTAATTGGCAAATAATTAATTAACCAATAATTAATTAAATTTTGCAACCAAAAGCCCATGTTCAGTTGCATGGACTCTTCGGCTTTTAAATAGTCAGTCAACCAATAGCCGAACTTCTCGGCTTGTTAGACACAAAAGTGGGAAAATTCTTTTTTTGTCGCTAGTGCTCGGGAGGGCGCGTACGACGATGTCGCTCGTCTACTGCGGACAGTCGGACGGTCGGTCGGACATTTCGTTCGTATGACCCAAGACTTTCAGTCAAGGGAAAAATATACCACAGGCCTTGGTTACGAATTAATTTGACAAATACAATGACAGATATAAGCTGAAATAGCAAACATTTCTCTACAAAATGCACGACCAAATGATATTTTAACTGTGAAGGTGATGGAACGGCAATGAAATCTTTTACCGGGACCAGAAAATTTTTTTAGTCTCGGTGCCCATCTCTACTCATAACATATTGTATTTAGACGAAATCTCCTGAGCAAGATAGATTGTGTGCATATTGTTTATCACTACGAATATCTATAGTATTCTTTGCAAATTTGAATTTAGTTCTCCTCTGTTGCAGGACTTGACAGGGATAGAACGAGAAAAAAAGGACGGAGGCACACAACAGAGAAAAAGAATCGGCACTTTTTTTAAATAAGCTCTTTCGAGAAAAACGAGTTTTGTGAAAGTGAACGATAGTCATCCACCTACTATATCTTCTCGTGAGACTTGAACATAAAAATGAAGAAAACACAACGTGCCCTCCATCAAAAAAAGAAGCTAATTTCTTTTTTTGGCTCATTTTATACCATAGATAGATTGATAGAGGTCATCGCGTTACGAAGGAGAATCATCTGATTTCTTTCTTTTAAACTGCTTTTAAGAAAATGAAAATTTGGCTTATTAAAACTATTACTTATTATAATGTCCTGCCTGCTTCAAAATAAACTAGACTAGTTTTGCAGCGATTTAGTGCAAATAAAACCTTGAATTTTTCTGATTCTAAGTTTAAAACTGAGTATATACGTTGTGATGTCGAATATAAATATATATTTGCTTGAAAACTAATATAAATATAAAATCTTTCAAAAGATTGGCACACTTTCCTCCAAAACGGGTAGAAAATATTCACTTCAAAAAATTTCTTTTTCAGTATATGGGCAAAACCAGCGTAAAGTGGACATGACTACCGTTTATTCATCTTGAATTTCTCCCTACTCTTGTTTTTGCGGATAACTCTTTGCTATTTGAATATATAAAGAAGACTTTGCTCTTTAAAACTATAATTAATTAAAACTAATTAGCTAATTAGTTAATTAATTAGAAAGTAATTAGCAAAGAGCGGTTCGAAACTAGTTTCTTTGCTCTTAAAAATTGCATAGAATGTTTCTATCACTAGTGTGCACCTACTGTAAAATTTTCAGCAAAATCGGATACATTCAGCCACCCTGCCAAAAAAGAAGTGTGCGATGAAGAAACGTAGTGAACAAGTGCAAAAAAGCCATTGTTTTTGCTATTGGGATTCAAGAAAACTCGCTCAAAACCTATGAAAAATATATCCTATCAATACAAAAATTATGCCATTAGAAAGTAGACACTTTGTGCTATCCAACCATGTACTTTTCTCGAAGTCGATATTTTTGGCGAAAATCGTCATTTCTGACCCTGTTTTTTTATGAGAACGTTTATGCGTAATTTCGTAACTTCTCAAAACATGCAATGAAGCCTACTGCGTTTGTTTGATGAATCATGGTAAAAACGACACTGCGACGGTCCGCTCCCCATTGACAATCAGTTATTCTTTTCTCCTGGGATCGTACCGATTAAATTTACTATGGAAAATGAGGGTATAAATAGTAGGAAATAACAAGTGTTGTGAGTATACAACGTACACAAATAAACATTTAAATGGCCCTTTTTCGCCAAAATACATTCAGTTTCCGCGAATTTGGTAATACAGTTACTGTTCCAAATAATTGTATAGCAAAGTGTATGTATTATTTGGACTGTGTTTGCTGCATTATTGAATACACTGATCAAGATTTGAGACATTTGCGTACCTATCAAAATTGGTCATCTTTGACAGCTACTGAAATTCGATTACTATTTGTGTTGTGTGCAACACTTAGTTCAGATGAATTTGTTGGAAAATGTATATTTGAAAGCGAACCTCTATGCGAAAATCAAGCGAATAAATTTTATGAATTATCGAATGTTCAAAACAATTTTTTGGTAGCCAATTCTGTATTTATCGCTGGCAGAAATCGTCAGGTTAAAAAAATAATGGTTTATAAAAGTGATTGGCTTACACGCTATTATTACAGCCGCTATATTACAGCCCCTTCTAGAAAACTAGTTTTTCAGAAACCCCAAGAAATAACCCGAACCTTTCTTAATGAGGCATGATTGTAGCCCGCACATTTCTGATTAAAATGAGATCTCTCCCAACTCTACATGACCTTTCTTTGCAAAG